CCCCAAAACCCCAAAACCCCAAAACCCCTTCGGATAGATTGTGAGGAAATTAATAAATGGTTAAATAAAATTAATATATCTAGATATTGTGATGACATAAAAATTGGTTAAGAATTTTTCAATAGATAAAATGATCTTGCTGCAAATGAGTCACTAATTCTGTTAGAATAAATCTTTTCTGGCAATGTGGGCACTTTTCTACCTCTGCCTTCTTTTGGGAGCTTTTATCTGGAATTATATGAGATTCTGTATGCTATATCAATTCATTTACATCACGAAATAATTAACCACAAAAAGGACATGACTCTGCTTAAAAATTATCACTAACGTTATCCTTTTTTGGCTAATTCTAGGTATTGTTTTATTATGATTGTTATTACGAGGATTATTGTGAAGAAAATCTATTGATATTTGACTCTAAATTAGTATAGTCAAAATGATTTATAACTGGTTAATTGCTATTATCTTTCCATCCATTTTTCTTGTCCTGATTCTTAAAAAATCCTTCCTAAAGTAGTTTACTTTTTTGGGTCTAAGGATTTCTGATAACATTGGTACACTAGTGATCATCTTAAAATCTATGAGCAATACAAACTTGCTGCAAACAATTAGGACAATTAACTGAGTTTGTATCAGTTATTTTTGTGTAGCATTTTTTTGCTATGCATTTCTTAATAGGTTTTTAATTCTAGTTCATTTTTGGAATGCATTCTCCAGACGTAGAATGTGTCTCCCATGCAATATTTGGATCATTTTTGGCTTTAATCTTTATTCTAGCTTCGCATATTGGGCATATAATCACGTAAATACTATCAAAATCTGGAGGTAAAATACATTAATGGTCATCTGCTCTAGTGTGATCTGCACAATAAATCTTTTTGCATCCATCACATTCAAATGGTAGAAAATCTTATTAAGAACAAAATTAGAAGCTACAGTGTTAACCAATCTTAGAAAATTCCATTTTAAAGTTAAATTATATTAATCAATTTAAAATTTCTGATTTATAACAAGAGCAAGTCCCTCGGGGTTTTGGGGTTTTGGGGTTTTGGGG